AATCCGTTTTTTCGACATAATAATTATTATTATTTCTATTCGGAATCCGAAAAGTTTCCGGCGCGCCGGTTTTCCGTATACAGACGCCGTAAAAGCGACAACCCCCGCACCCCGAACCGCGTAAATCGAATATTAGAAGCGCGTAAATATTACAAAACGAGTTAAGTTTCCGCGCGTACGATTTCCACTGCGAGCGTAAATTTACATTTTGAAATTGTACAGCTTACATAGTGAAAACTTATAGGGGTTTTTCTTATCATGTTCGCAGAGGAGGAACGGATGTTTTTATAGCAAAAACATGGGGAAAAAACCGGACACCCAATTATTTTTGTACGTGGAAAGGTATTGGATACATAGCGACAATTAATTTACATAGGTACTAAAAACAAAAATAAATAATCGCAATCAAAAAAATCAAAAATCAAAAAACAAAAAATCACCCTCCTTCCGCAATAACATATGATAATACTTGATTTTTTGAAATCCGACCAAAACCACAGTACGCATCATTTTAATCCGCCTTTAAAACAACTCTATTTCTGTTAGATCGTTTCGTCCACAGACGGCCGTTAAAAATGTCCAAAAGTAGATGGAAAAAGATGGGTATAATAATATGCAGACTCTGTAATATAATGCGCAATGTACAGTAGTGGTTCCCAACCTTTTTGTTATAGCGACCCATACATTTACTCTTTTTGGGGTATGGGACCCACATTAAAAAAAGCTTACTAAAATTTTGAGGGTACCATCACTGTTGTAGGTGGAAAGTTGAGAAGGTAGGATACAGAAGGGAATTCGATGTATATCTGTAAGCAACGATGAACCATTGCTAACGAAAAAACGATTCCGAACAGAGTTCAGTTTATAGTGATACTTTGTCAATGATATATATGTCATATTATGGTAAAACAATTAAATTGGTATTATATATTTTCTTTGATAATATTTGTTTAGTTTTGTACCGATTTTCCGTTTTTTTCCGGATTATCACATTTACTTGGAAAAATCTTGGGAAAAATTAAAAAATGGTCTCTTTAGAGCACCTTCCCAATCGGATTTTCTTTCAGAAAAAGTGCTATCATTATAAATCGGAGCAAAATTGCTGGTAGAAAAGTTGTTCACAAAAAAAAAGAAGGCCGTAATACTTTTTAACTAATACTTTAACTATACTATACTTTTTAACTAATACTCTAACTAAAACTATTTCGTACATTTTCAGTTTTCCTCCGTTTTTTTTATTTTCGAGTTTCACATTTGCTTATTTTTTTATTATTCTTACTAATCTATTTTTTATATTTCTGTTTTATTATATATAACCAAAATAGTTTTCTTCCAATATTGGGTCGCAGCCCATAAATTGGGAAACACTGATAGTGTGAACAGTGTGCTGTGCAATGGACTCTATTTTCGGAGAAAACTCGCCAAAAAAACCACGTGAGAAATCGAGGACTAGAGTTTACTTAAATGTAAAAAGAAAAAAAAAAATTAAAATACCTAGAGTCGTGGGTGCCGTGTCACTGAATTTTATATGTGCGCAACCTCTAAATTATACCTGCACGGTTTGAAAGTTCCGCGCGGCGTAATTATTATTACACGCCCGACAGAACAAAATTTCAAGGGAAATGAAAAAAAAAAAAACGAAACGTTTTGTACACCACATAAATACAGGTGCATATGCATAAAATGCAACGGCTTGGTATGACGACCTTATATAGTATAGTATTGTGTTATATTACGACACTGAGCATGTCAGTTATTGTGCCGCGGCATCGCGTTTACAAACTACATAATATATAAATATCGGAGTGCGCGAGACCTGTTTTTTCGCTAAAAAAAAAAAAAAAACAAAAACAAAAAAACACACGTGTGCTTACAACTCGGTTTTGAGTAAACGCTATCGCATGATCCGTTGAGCGTGGTCCGATTCCGATTTCCCCCGAAAATCTAGACTATTTGTATGATTAAGGTGCTTAGGTACGTACATTTTGTTCGGGATTTTTAGCGTTTTACGCCGCTACACAAACTCACCGAACGAAGCCGAGGGGATGAAATGTTGCGGCAACGGTGCGCCTTTCGGGAGTTTCGACTTACCGTCTCCACTCCCGCTATCGTCTGTGTACGATCAAATTCTCGCGATATTATCGAAAGTTTAATGTACAATAATTATTGTATTGTTACATTATTCGATTAATTATTGTTTTCCAAAAACATATTTCGACACACACAATTGACGGAGAGAAATTTCAACTCTATTTAGTGACGGAGTTCTACTGCTCGCGGGTAGTTTTTTTTTTTCTTTGATAAGAAAAAACTTTTACTTGGTCTTGGATTTTTGTAAATTTTACTCCTAAACTCTACGATTATAATTTGAATATGATCGATTTTCACTATTATTTTTTTAACTCACTGTTTTGATGGTTTTTAATACTTCCACAGTAGGAAGTTTTCCGCTCTTTTCGGAACATGAGGTTTTTCTGTAACGCATGGTTTAAACAAAACAACAGGTTGTTCGCAGTCTTCGTAATATAAAAATGAAAACTGATTGACCTATTCGTTCAGATTTGTTAATCGTAAACGTTAACAATTTATAAATAGCTACGAGTAAGGCCCTTAAAACTCCATTTAAAGCGTAAACAAAAAAAAAGCATGTTGTACCCATCCGGCCGTTCAAAACATAAACCGGGTTTAAAACTAAGATTACATTAAAGCTTATAAAAACTTATAAGTGGCTTATTAACTATTTTATTTTTTACTTATAAACTCTTACAACTTGTAAGTTGTAGCAAATCGTTTTACAAAAATAAAAAAATATGTGCCAAAATCGACGATTTGTATAGATGAACTTTCTATACAAAAATTTAAAAAAAATATGTGCCAAAATCGACGATTTGTATAGATGAACTTTCTATACAAAAATTTAAATAAAATATGTGCCAAAATCGACGATTTGTATAGATGAACTTTCTAAAAAAAAATTTAAATAAAAAAAAACCTTTAGCTAGGCATTTATACAGACTTAATTTATTATATATTTCAAAATAATTTGTGTTGTTGTTTTTCTTTTTTTTTTTCAATACTTTTAAACCGTGGTTATAAGCCTAAGCCGAAATTCCGGTGTCGTTCTCGATTCCTTATGATCATATTAAGTACATAATTGCAAGACCGTAAATAAATTCTCAAAAATGTTAAGGAATCCAATGATACCGATTTCGACTCACTAAGTTGAAATTGGGTGGAATACGCGTGGTGCCGATATAGGACCCTGCAAATTCCTTATTTTGGCAATTTTTGCCGTCAACCTCGCTACATACGTTTCGTCGATGTCCGAGAAAGTGGGCAGGCTAACTTCACGACGATGTGCACGCGCATTTCCTTTAATTGCGTCGTCGGTATAATAATATACACGTTCTGCAGCAGTCTAGTTTTTTTTTTTTGAGGAACAGTTTAATAATACCGAACGTTTACCAACAATGAACACACGTTTGTTGTACGGTCACGCTCACACGACTCGTCGATTAAACAATCAAATACCCGAAGATTTATAGCGCGATTTACTTGGATAACTCTCTCTCTCTCTTTCTCTCTCTCTCTCTAGCTAAACACATTGTTATCAGCTTACTCTCTTCGGTGGCGTATCGGTCTCTTCATTAGCATAACGAAGCAAACTATATTCTCTCGTGTCCCGCGTGTCTGTGAATTGTACCGTAAAAAAAAAAAAAAAATCTGGGAAAAATCGTAATATTTCTTTATCCGACCCGTCCGTTTTGCCCAGAACATGGACTCGCGAGTCCGGTGACCTTTATACCACCTTACAGGCGACTATAAAGGTATAAAGGTATATATACTACTCACACCCACGTCAGCGTTGTGCCGTTACGAAACTCTCGAACTCCCCTTCTCGGGCACGTAACTTCGATATAATCACCGGGCATGAACATTATTGCGTGTAAAAATAACAGCAACGATAATACACTACTGTCAACATTAGAAGCTTTTATTGGGATCTATGAATTCAACAGTAAGTAGTGCCGCCATCGTGCATCGCAAGGGGGGCGACGCCATTGCTATATTGGTTAAGATCATATACCATTTAAAACGCTCGTTCGTGCGTCGCTATCGGAAAGAGTGCGCCAGTGTGCGTGCACGGTACGGCACAAAATAATACAATGTACGGTCCGGATATCGCAGGGCCTAACCCCTTGTTTCGGTACGATAAACTGCCGTCAGAGTGTAGACCAGCGCGGATTGAACATGAACTAATTCTCCATCAGTTTATAGAATTTTCAACACGACCCGTATTGAAAATCCATTTAAAATTAAAAAAAAAAAAAAAAAATGTTGTTTCACCCCCGAAAATAACGGTTAATAAAATGTACGGAAATTGAACATTTTAAAGCTGCTTTAACTGTCCGTACTTGTTATTAAATAACGAGTGTCCGACGGATAATATAATCACCTTGCACTACCATACTACTAGTATTTAATGCGATGAAACGTTATCGTTTATCAATTATACACGTTTAAATGATATTATATTAACCGTCGATAATATAATACGCTAAACCGTACAGTCGATTGGACTGATAGGTGTGAACTCTAATCGTACGTCGAGAAATATTCGTCTGTATAAAAAAAACAAATTTAAAAAAAACCGTGTCGCATCAAAATATTAATTCCGTTATTTCGAAGATACCTCGCGCGCGATAAGTTTAAATACCGCAGTTTTTATTCCTCGGTCTTGAGTGTAGAAAACTACACCTGAATACGTATTTATTATTTTTTTTTTTTCTATTCGTTGACGTAGAGTAATAATAATTGTTGGCGGATGTCAAAAGGCAAAAATGATTTTTACTAAACGTTTAATTATATACAAGTACAAAATAAAAAAAATAAGCACAGTCTTTATGTAATACAATCGTAATAATATTATGCGATGCGACGGCACACTACAATGGCATTACAACGACGGCGACGACGAGGTATTTTATTACAAATAACGATCAGTCGTGTTCATCTGCGGGCGACTCGCCGCCGACCCTTTGGTCGTACATCGATTTCATGTGCACGAGCAACCGTTCCAAATTGACACCGTGTTTGGCGGATATCTCGATGATCGTGTCGTCGGGCAACCGTTCGCGGAGCGCGACCAGATTGTCGGCCGCGCCGTCCGCGTCGATCTTGTTGGCCACGATCAACTGCGGCCGGGCGAGTATCGTCTCCGAGAAACACCGGACCTCGTTGCGGAGCGTGTGCACGTACGACCAGGGCTCGGGCAGCGACAGGTCGACGACCAGCATCAGGGCCATGCACCGCTGCACGTGCCGCAGGAACGATATGCCCAACCCGTGGTTGCGGTGCGAGTCTTCGATGAGCCCGGGCAAATCGGCCACGGCGATCGTTTCCATGTCGCTGTACCGGACAACGCCCACGTACGGCTGTAACGTGGTGAACGGGTACGGTGCCACCTTGGGCCGGGCCCGGGTGATGGCCCGCAACAGTGTGCTCTTGCCCGCGTTCGGAAAGCCCAGCAGCCCGAAGTCGGCGATACTGCTCAGCTCCAGCGTGTACCGTAACGATTCGCCGGCGCCGCCCACTTCGGCCACCTCGGGCGCCTGTTCCGTGTCCGTCGCGAAGTACCGGTTCCCGTGGCCACCCGCCCCGCCCCTGGCTGCCACGAACATGACGCCGGGCCGAGCGAGATCGCCGACCACCCGGCCGTCGCTGTCTTTGATGACCGTGCCGACCGGCACGTCCACGAACCGGTGTTCGGCGCCCTTGCCGTGACAGTCCTTGTTGTAACCCTTCTCGCCGTCGTCCGCCCGGATCTCTACGACCAAGTGTGCCAGGCCGGTGACGTTCTCGGACGCCCGGAACACCACGTGGCCGCCGTTACCGCCGTCCCCGCCGTCCGGGCCGGCGTTCTCGTTGCCGAACAACTTCATGAACGACACGCGGCCGTTGCCGCCCCGGCCGCCCACCACGCGTACCGTCTTCTCGTCTACCAGGTGCTTGGCCGACGTCAGGGCCGATTTCTTTTTCGTGCATCGCAGCGGCAACGCGGTAACGGCGCGTGCGGGGTTATCGTCCGTCGCAAACCGCCGGGAATATGACTGGTGCAGACGGCGGCAATGGTGCAGCAGATGATGATGGGGATGCGGCGACGTCGGCGGCTGCGGCTGCGGTTGTTTCGGCTGCCAACGGCCGGCGGACATTGCGGCCGCGGTGGCGATCCGGCCACCAACGACCCGACGTGACCACGACGACCACATCTCACTGGGTGACGACCGGTCTCTTCTGAAACACACCAACACCAATTTGGCGATCAGACACGTGTGTTTGTACGGGGGTACCGGTCGTCGGAAAAGCCGCTTTTGTACTTTTTTAAATAAATTATATGATTCGTTATATTCTGTCGTTATTTGTTGCGCCGTGAACTCGTGACTCGAGCGTACAGACACAGTGTACGCCGTGTCATAAAACCATGTCAGCTGTGCCACGTTATGGTTACACACGCGCCGCGAACGATATCGGACGATTTCTAATAATCGCAGTACTACGTCGGCGGGTAGAGGACGAATAGTACGACGTACTATAATAATAACATACGATTATAAATTAGACCTAGTAATATGAGTAATGAGTATAAAAGTATGGTTTTTGTTCTTTACGAAACGATATTATGCTTTCAGAGAATTGCTCGCATTTGTACTTTCCCGGGCCAACTATTACGGGTAACGTAGCGAAAAAACGTAAGAAATTCGAATCGAAATAGTGGCCGTTAGGCGTTGAACGCGTGTAACGATAAATTTAAAAAGAAAAATGTGTTCGAAAGCACCGCTTTGCTTCTCCCCCCCCCCCCCAAAAAAAAAAAAAAAAAAAATATTATCGAATAAAACAATTACAATCATAATATACGAATATTATATTGGTTTTTTTTTTTTTCGATAATATTTTAGAGAAAAAAAAACGCCGCGGCACCATCTTGTGAAATATTCTCTTCTTTGAATTGTCTTACGCGTGTTCGAACTCTCGTTTCGACCTAACGCCACAAATGGCGATTTTAAGTTATGTAATTTTACCACGCCGTCCCGTCCGTCAGTTGGGCCGAGACAAAAAAAAAATGCGGATTCCTTAAAGGATCTCGTACGGTCCACGCATGATTCGTTTTCTCCGTACGACCCGACCATAATAAAGCAACAGATATCCACCGCACTTGCGATATTTTTTTCGAATTTACGGCAGAGAAGCCTGTTATACGTATTATACGAAAAACTAGTAGGTATTTACTATGGTTTTTAAGATTTTCATTTGTTACCGTGGAATAATGCGAGTTTTGATTTTATTTTTATTAAATATGTAAATATGTAGTATGTGCTTACCAGAATGTCCAGGATAATATTCTCTACACAAGAACGTATATAGGTACAATTAAAATCAGAGGTTAGTATTATTCACTGTTTAAACATACCAATATAAAGAATGAACAAGATAAAAATATGAAAAAAAAAAAAATAAATAAAAATGTTTTAAGTAGACCTGTATTTTAAGTATACCTGTAACTGTACCGGCTATACCTAGTATATATATAGTAGTATAATAGTAATAGTATTCACCCCAAAGAAACTCGTGTATTGGTCAAAAATAAGCGCAAACGATTGAAAAATTCATCCCTAACCTGTTTAATATAATACCCGCCGTACATTCCCCGTTCCGAATTATTCAAAAGACCATTTATACACGACCCCATAACGTATCGGTTTATAAATTATTTACAATAACTTTTTTTTTTTTTTCAAAATTACAAGAATCCATTCGTTTATATAAAAATCTATTTTAAAATACATACTTATGAATAATTTTACAAGTGTATAAATAGTGTACAGACCGAAAAAAAAGGAACCTCGAAGTTAGGTTAGTCTCGCGGGTGTACATTTGCGGTGTCCGCCTACAATATGTTTATATCTTCGACGAAAACCGTACGCCACAGGAATTCCGTCTTATTCGCAGGAATTGTACATAGTGAACGCAGTGCTGATCGAGTGAATATTTCGCGTGCGCGATGTCCCAAAAAAAAAAAAAAAAGACAATAAAAACAAACCCCGACGAAAAATGACAGTGTTTGGTATTTTAGTGTTCGGAATCAAAACGAGTTTTCATGACTTACAAATGCGCGAAAACGTGTAAAAAAAAAAAACGAAAAATTATACGGAGGGGACGCGACTATAACTGAACGGTATTCTTGACGATATTGTTCCGAAACGAACGGTTTGTTATGCCTTTTATGTAAAACGCAATCGTACTCGTGCAATAATAAAATAATAATTCGACGTCACACTCGATTGTTTTTTTAAAATCTTCAGAATAGTTCATAACCTATACCGACATCATAAATAGACATAATATAAAAGTCCCAATAAGATTGTGTATCAAGTTTGGCAGTACGTTAAGAAAGGAAAAAAAACAGCAAGTTTGGCAATTAATCGTACTGTAACAGGACAAACTGTATCGATTAACCCGTGAACTATTATTGTTTATGTGACGACATGGAAACCGAGGTGTAGATTTGATAGAGACAATTTCAAATATTGCATTTCATGTACAATCGCAAATATATGATCACGTGTCCATCACATAATTCACGGTATAATACAAAACAAACAAATCGTTAAAATATCATAACTATTGTACACACGAATACCTACAGTAATAATGATAGACGATATTCTATAAACAAACATTTTAATATGGTATTAATGCATTATAGACATTAATTGTGCATACGGATAATAATTACACCTGCCATTTCGAACAAGGTATTTTGTCTTTTAATCACGCTGTTAAACACGAATTATCAATTTATATAGGTAACCGCGGACCGCGTAGGTACCTACTATACACTACTTACACATTATGTGCAGAGTGTATGTGCAGGATTCGACAATTTATCCTGCGCGAATGCTTAGGAAATTGTAAAACCGGGCATATATTCACACTGTGTGTTGTATCCGATAATTATATAATTGCAAGGCAATTAATACGTTGTTTACAATAAATTAACAACTCTACGACTGCACAATTATACAATATTAGGTTAAAACTGCTCTGACGTTCCCTAAACGTTTCGTCTGCGGGAAAACTTGTAACCGCGTTCGTCCAACTGAAATAACGCGAACACGGTTCGATGCGTCCGCCAACACTTTCGACTTCTCTAAATAATTTTATTTCAACATACATATATATTATGACGCGGTCAAGAGTTTCTACATGTTAGTATGTATTTGTATAATACTTCTCTTTTAGCAGTTTTAAAACAATAATATTACACGCCTAAAATGAATACGAAAAAAACTATATGCATTTATATCATAATATATTTGCGTGTATTATAATAGAATGAACATTCTATCACGGTCACGGGGTCGGGGTCACGGGGATAGGGGTTATGTTAATGAATGGATGGTTCTTCTTGGGGGGGGAAACCTAAGCTAAACACGTTTTTATTCCTACATGGGCCGTATACGGCTGAATTTTTTATTGGATAATATAGACGTAAAATATGCATAATAACTTACTCGTAATGAACAATTCTTCGCACAAAATTTAAAAACATTAACTCAGCTATTCGGATGAATAGATTTTCGAGTTTGTCGCGTTTTTTTTTTTTTTTTTTT